TATCTTGGCCCATTCTTGGGACTCTATTGACTTGGGCGTGGTTAATTATCACCAGCATGCAACAAGTGGAGTGGCAAGGATTTCCAGCAAAGAGCCTCGAAGGTAGTGGTCCATACAAGAAGATAGCGGATGGAGAACTGGATGGCTCCCACTAAAGCTGCTAAAAAATAGATAAATAGGCTGCTGAACACTGTAATTGTATAAACACGTGGTCTTATTGTCATAGCAACAATCGATTGGTTTCCATGGTATTTAATTAAACCTTTTTATTAGTTTTTATTATCGCAAAAATAAGCAGTCGCGAATATATCCCGACCTACCGTATGTATTAATAATTTATTATTACATGTACATTATTTTATATCATACATGTACATGTATAATAATAGTCAAAGGAGAAGAGAAGAGACCCAGAGAAGAGGAACAAGAACTGGTTTTAGTTGCCATTGATCAAAGAACAAGCTATAAGCAGGATGCAAATTTTGCAAAGAATTGACAAGGGAGGGGCTCGTTTTGGGCGGGGCAAATTAATAAATTATTGTAACCATAGATATTAGAGTAAATGAAAGGGATTGGAAACGGGGGCGTAGGCTGGTTGATGTTGCTATTGGTTACAGGCCCAAAACCTGGTTGATTTCCCATCTCCTCCATTAGTGAGGCTGTACTGCAAGGACTTCGAAAGATATTTATGGAGATCTAAGAGGACGCTTACTTATGATATACCTACTGTTCGATATAGAAAGTGTTGGACTACCTGCAGCAAGGTTTTTACTTCTACAACGCTATTTTGCAACGAGTTATAGGTACAACAAAATGTTTTCACTTTTCGCCCTTTTTCTGTTATAACAAACTCATGCTTCATGGATTCTAACCCTAACTAGTATCATTCGATATGCAAATGAAAACTCTTTCATATGATTATAAAGATATTGCATTTTACTCTAGCTTGTTTTCAAAAAAGGGATTATAATGACAAAAAATACATTTTATGGTTTTAAAAGTGCCATAACATTAACATGGTAAAATTATCTGTACAATAGAAAACAGAATTATAAAGAGGAAACATTAGGCTTCTTGATGCATTAATTTCACTTGCATAGGAACACTTGTTTGCGAGATATTGCTCCTAAAAGAAAGAAAATCAAGGGTAAATTGTGACAAAAAATTTCAACGAGCCTCTGTCAGCCTAGCAGCAATACAAATGAATGGAGGTTGGGCTACGCTCACGCTTCCGTTTCCAATCCCTTTCATTTACTCTATTATCTATGCTGCCATTTTGTTATGAGGTAACGCCCACAAACACATTTCTCCGGATACTCTCCGCCTGAGTACGTAATCTTTAACCACGTGCTCCTACTCAAAATGAAGGTACTGACCAAGTTCATATTTCATTATTTCTTTTCTTCCCTAGATAGCCATAGAGGGTTGCTGTCATGGGAAGTTAGACCTTATTTATGATAAACTACTCAAACTCCAAGAGAGAGAAGGAATTAAAATAGATCTATTACTCTGTTGTGGTGATTTCCAAGTCAGTGAACTCCATTTTGTGTTCATTTCAGTATAAGACCCACTGCAGGCAATTAGAGATCAAGATGATCTTAACTGTATGGCAGTCCCTGACAAGTATAAGGAAATCGGATCCTTCCACAAAGTAAATAGATAAATGATGATACCATTGGTACATAATAACTAATTAATACTGAGGGGTGGGGCTGCTTAAATTTTACCTTTTGTATTCTCTTGGCTTTGGATATTTTTGTTAAAATGTTTTTCATTTTTTCTCAATGGCATCGTTTTGCTTACTTGGCTAAAATTTTTATTTAATAATAATAATAATTCCTAGTAATAATTTTATGATATAAAAAATAGCAATTAAAAATGATTGTGCATACATTGTTTTCAAAATTAAGTTCTTGTGTGTAATATGTAAATATTGTGCATCATAGCAACATCATTAATATGAATAACTGTAATAACCATAATAATAACCATAATAATAATAATAATAATAATAATAATAATAATAATAATAATAATAATAATAATAATAATAATAATAATAATTAATAATAATAATAATAATAATAATAATAATAATAATAATAATAATAATAACAGTATGTTATAATCTGTGCATTTCAAGTTTAAGTACTTGTACATCATTGGGTCAAAAATTACAATATCTGACATGTACTTTTCTTTTTAACCGGAGGAGGCGAAAGAACAATCCTACAAGCCTCTTCAAACACTTCCTTGAGATTGACACTGTTAAGTGCTGAACACTCCATGTATTTGGCTGCGTGACATCTCTTCTGTAGATCCAAACCCTCAGAATACATTACAATGCTACCTGTGTGCTCCTTGCTCTCTCGTAGATCAAGTTTTGTGCCAACCAGCAGCACTGGAGTATAGGGGGAGTGGTGCCTTATCTCTGGCAGCCATTTTTGCTATATTATAAGAGAGAGAGAGTGAAAGAGGAGGGGAGATAGAGAGAGGGGTAGGGAGAGTAGAGACAGTATAGTATCTAAATCATAGTTTATATAAGTATTGAGATATCTGCTTGAGGTGAAGCTGAGGGCAGATATCAAGGGACTCAGGTATTACGTTACTGAGATACACTTTATTTTATTTAACATTTACATTGTCAGTCATTATGGTACATACATGTAGTTACCTGTACGTTAACAAAAGATGGTTTATAAGCTAATGAGAAGCAGATGAGGAATATATCTGTGTCAGGATAAGAGAGTGGCCTCACTCTGTCGTAAGAATCCTGACCAGCTGTGTCCCACAGGGAGAGGTTAATCACCTTCTCATTGATCATCAGATTAGCTGTGTAATTGTCAAACCTGTTTTAATAACGAGTTATACATGTACATGTGTTTTAATGTGTGTCTGTACTTACACTGTGGGTACATATTCTCCAGGAAATGAGTTACTGGTGAAGCTGATTAGCATTGAGGTCTTTCCTACTGCTCCATCACCAACCACAACACACTTGATACTATCCATCTTTAAGAAGAGGGAAGAGGATAAAGAGAGAGAGAAGGAGGGGAAAGAAAGAGAGAGGAGAATGAATAATAATAAGTTTTTTTAAACTTACAGTGGCCTTCTTTAGTATCTATCCTCCTCCTTCTCCTCTCCTTTGCTTTACTATCTCTACTATGAATATTTTGCTATATCTATTAATAGTACACACACACACACACACATACAGATACATGCATACAGTCATATTGTGTTCATTGACAGTAAAGCACATTCTCTTCCTAGTCTGTATAAACAGACTCTATACTCTGTCACAACTACTGCTGTCAGTAGGTCTATTTATATCTTTTTATCATATTCATAATGACAGGGTCTTACTCACTAGGTTGTAGTGTAATGTACAATTTTAGTATTTTATGCAATGTACATGTAAATGTAATCCGGTAATATTATCTGTAATGATTAAAGTATTGTTTTTTACAGTTATTGTTTTTAAGTTATAACTTTTAAGTTTTGTGTAGGATTAAGGTTGAAATATTATCATTATTTTATTACGTTTTTAGTATTATTCTGGTAAAGAGAAAGCTCCTATTCTAACGATATTCATAGGAGGAAACCACGAGGCCAGTAACTACCTGAGGGAACTGTATGTTAACATAATCCCATTCCCCATATGACCTCTCTCTCTCTCTCTGTTCCTCTATTAGTGGGTATGGTGGTTGGGTGGCCCCTAATATCTATTACATTGGTTACTGTGGTGTAGTACTTTATGGTGGAGTAAGAATTGCTGGACTGTCTGGTATTTATAATTACCATAACTACAACAAAGGTATTCACTCATACCACACAGCTGGGATATTAGTAGAGAATTAAAGAATTAATAATATTGGCAGCTGCAATGACTGAGCATCTGCCATTTAATTTTGGCTCATTCCAAGGATGCTTAATATGACATTGAGGGATGTTGTTATCTGTTTTTAGGTCATTTTGAAGTGCCTCCATTTTCAAGGGATACTCTTCGTTCAGTTTATCATGTTAGAGCATCTGACCTGTACAGAATGAAAAATGTGAGGGAGAGAGGGAAGAGGAGGAGGAGAGAGAGAGGGAGGTATTAATAGGAGAAGAAAGGAAGGAGATGAATTGTGAATTTTTTTAGTTAAAAAATCAAATTGACATTATGATGTCACATGACTGGCCTTGTGGGATACATCGTCATGGAAACGAGGAGAAACTCTTTCAAATGAAACCTTTTTTTAAAGAAGAGGTAAGCTCAACAAATTAATTATTAAAATCGATTACGACCAAATGATTAAATTAATGATAATGTTATCTTTTAATTACCTGTACTGTATTAAAACAAATTAAAAATTTAGTATTAAAATTGACTATAATTATTTTAATGATATGCGTGCATGCATGTGTTCATGCAGGCAGATAGAGACCAGTTGGGGTGTCCTCCTGCTATGGAGTTACTGAATATACTAAAACCTTGTTACTGGTTCTCCGCTCATCTTCACTGCAAGTTCTCGGCCGTCTATCACCATGGTAACGGGCTCATCACCAAATTCTTAGCACTAGACAAGTGTCTACCACACAGAGGATACATACAGGTGAGAGAGGGAGGGAGGGAGGGAGGGAGAGAGGGAGGGAAATAGAAAATTAGTTTATGAAACTGAAAGTGTAGTGTGTGCATTAGTCCCTTTATTCTCCTCCCTTTCTTCCTACCAAGACCATGTAATGTAGTGTTTAGTCCATTGTTATATTCCCTGTACTATAGTACAGGGTCACGGGCCAAATTTCACCAAAAATGAAAAAAGAGAATTTTAAATTTTTATTACATTTCCTGATACATATACATGTTCTTATGCTGTGTAGAAAGTTTGAGTTGATTCCGGTCGAAATCAGATTTTTTACAAATTTTTAAAGTTACTCAAAAATTGGGCCAAAGTCCCTGTACTATAGTACAGGGTCACGGGCCAAATTTCACCAAAAATGAAAAGGAGAGAATTTTCCATTTTTGTTACATTTCCTGATACATATACATTGTACATGTTCTTATGCTGCGTAGAAAGTTTGAGCCGATTCCGATCAAAATTGGATTTTTTTACAAATTTTTAAAAATTGGGCCTAAGTCCCTGTACTGTTAGCATTAATAATGAATGTATTGTATACCCACATGATACTGTACATTCAATAATTGATTAACACTAGGTTATTGATGTCCCTTCATTAAGTTCAGAGCCTCCAGTATTGAAGTATGACCTGGAGTGGTTGTCAATATTAAAAGGAACTGAATCACTAATGCACTATACATCAAGAATGTGGAATGAGCCTGATCCAGAACAGTGAGTGAGGGGGAGAGAGAAAGAGAGAGAGACTGAGGAGAGAGAGAAGAATCAAAAGGGAGGGAAGGCTAAATATTATGCAAGTTTTTTGTAGTGAGGTCCCTCTTCCTTCTCTTCCTGAGATTGAGAAATCCTTTGATAATGATTTAACTGTGAGTCACAATACATCAATCACTTTATTATTAATTATTATCATTACGATCAAATTGTAACCACAAAGACATGTGATTTAATGTACTATCAAAGCTATTGCTATTTCTTGTTTTAATTATTTCAGATTCCATTATTAACCATTGGGGACTTTTCCAAGGAAGCTACTAGAATTGCAGGTACAATAATAATAATAATAATAATAATAATAATAACAATAATAATAATTATTATTATTATTATGATACAAGCATTATTATTGTTATTGTTGTTTTCATGTTTTGGTTGAAGGTGAAAACCCTCAGTCTAGACTCTTTTGTCAAAGACTGGGTATAGACAATCCGTGGAAACTGAAACCTTCTCCAGGAAGAGAAGATGAAAGAAAAGGAAGTGGCTTAGCAATCACTCCTCTTTCTCTCCCTCCTCCAATCCATAATCCTGTTCCTTACAATCCTGATGAAATATTTATTGACGATATTGATGATGATGACGACGACGACGACGATGATGATAAAAGATTGAAATTAGAGGAACCAGAACTGTCTTCTGCAACACCAACTGCTAATGTCACTGTTGATAATAATAAAGATGACGTAGCGACTAGTGATGGCGGAAACAATTTTCAAGATGACAATAAAGAAAAGGAGGAGGCGGAGGTAATGCAGGAATAGAGTAAGTGCTGGATTCCACTCGCTCTTGGTTTTTATCAAAGTGTTTTATGATCTCCGTTTTTTGTGAGGAGTTTTAAAAATAAACAGAAAAATAGTAATAATATTAACAATACATAATAATAATAATAATAATGATACTAATAATACTAATAATAATACTAATAATACTAATAATAATAATAATGATAATAATAATATGAAAGTACTAATACAACATATGGATAATAAAAATAATGATTAATAAACATTAAATGCTAATAATAAGCTAACCACACCCAGTCCACTGCTTATGTATCCGGAATACACACTACTGTATTCTTGAGCCACGCCCACAACACTCGGACCCAATGCACGAGCGAGTGATGTCACAGATGCTCCTATTCCAATTAACGCCCCCTTCTGACCCTGGTCTCCCCTCGTCAACATTACTTTGACCGACGCAATCCGAAGGTTAGCTGTCGCCACGCTCAACGGGATCAAACAGACAATGGTGACCGGTAGCCATGGCAACCAGACGGAACCAATCATAGCGAGACACATGAGGATCGTCATGTGAACGAGTAATTTTGATTGGCTACGATAATATTTCGAGACCCGCCCGGCGAAACTTGACGCAATCATTCCCACAATAGCATTGAAGGACATTATCAAACCTTTGGTGCTGTGTTTCCCTGTCATGCCATGTACCTCTTCTAGGAAGATGGTAAAGTTCCTTCGATAGGTTATAACCGAGAGAGAAGACACAAATCGAAATAGGAGTATGTCATATTGTTCCGACCACTTAAACCCATCGAATATATTGAGTGAGGAAAAGACTTCCCTCCAGTTAAAAGTAGCGGTTTTTGCTATATTTTTTGACTCCGGTATCATTAGTAGTATCACCGTAGAGGCTGTGAAAAAGACACCTGCTGATGCTATGAATGGTAGGCCTAGTTGGGGGTCCATTTCTGCTAGGTACCCTCCAACAAGGGGTCCGATGATGAAACCCAGGCTGCTAAAGGAATTGAAATATCCCAATATGGCCGATTGTTTGTCACTGGGTACTTGCTCTGTGATGTACGCTCTGGAACATAACTGACCATGTTTAAAGACACCTATAATAATAATAATAATTAATCATAATGAGCTCAAACTTCATAAATAAGTGTAGCATAAAACATGTGCAACAAAAATGGAGAATTCTACTTAGCCGTTTAAACGCATCTAATTTTGATCAGAACAGCTCAAACTTTCTTAACAATCATATAAAGACAGAATTTTGTTTACCAATTTCTATGATCAATCAGAATACATATGTACATGTACATATTATATCTTCTCTTACCATTAAGAATTCTGCTCACAATCAGTAGGTGTACTGATGATGTAGTGCCAAGTATTAAGTAGCTCAGTCCTGGCATCAAATAAGATAAGAACATGAACTTCTTACGTCCATACACGTCACCCAATCTACCCTGAGTGAAAGAGTGAAAATGCATTAGTACCATAAAATTTTAGTTTTTTTCTGCAACATTTTAAAAATGCAAGTGACTTAAGGCAGGTTCTCAATTATGATGTTCTGATGCATGCTACAATTCTTTCTGCAGCAATCAATGGTCATATTGAATCAAAACTGCAGTGGCTTTCATAGAGCTGGTACTTCTAAGTTTTCCAGGCATTTTTGCATTCCTCACCACAAAACTTTAATTACTACTATTATAATTTTTTAAAATTAATATCCTCCATTGACATTATGCATCATACAATGAATCCTTTAACGTACTATGACAGGACCAGAGAATATCTGAATAGCTCCATAGAGAGATCCAACTAGGCCAGTTACAGAAGGAGATATTCCTCGGCTCTTAAACGCTTGTATCATGATTCCAATGATCATACTAACTCCCAGCATGTCCTAGTAATGGGGGAATAAGTGCAATAATGTAAAATTGTGTACACACCAGAAATACAATGAAGTACAAGGTTCGGACGAAAGCATTTGTGCTCAGACGAGTCGCCATCTTTGATTAGAAGGTGTCTTCTTAAGAAAAGACCACGCCTATAAAATATGGCGCACGAGGAATCACGTGGCGTGGCAACTAGTGAAGAAACTGGCTCGATTATCGCTACAGAAGGTAAAGAGAGGGAAGGAGGTGATGGAGAGAAGGTACTAGAAGGAATGAGCCTGCTGGGAGGGACGGAGGGAGGCCTGGAGAACGCCATTAGTATATTTTCAGGAGTTCGTGACTCGTTTTTACAAGAACATCAAAAGAAAGAGGTAGGAGAGGAGAGATACGGTAATGCTTTCATTGCATGGAACTCTCTGTAGCTAAGTAGCTGAAGCTAATTTTTATACAGTGTCAATAATTTTTGAGAGTATTTCTTTTAGCAAATTCTATGTCAACGATATTAAATTGCCATTATCTTTAATTTTCACACAGACGAGTGTTCTCCTCTTCTTTATATCTTAATGCATGTAGCTCTCCCAGCTTATAATTATTAAAAACAAAGGCTTTTGTGAATTTATATCTTTTAAAAAGGAAATTGTCATGGCGTAGTATTTCAGTATTTTGGTTACACATTTGAGCTGCAGGAGGAACACTTCCTTAATGTGTTTATTTTCATCATTATTGGATGTAAGCCAACCACATCACTTGATGCATGAAATTGCATTAGCCTGCTTTTCTTAAATAAATAACATGTTTACAGTTTAATGTAACAGTGATTATTTTTTGTGGCTAATAGTGTATAAAGGATCCTTTCTTTTCTTTCCTCAGGCTATTAGGAGTGTGGTACAACAATTGGAGAACACTAGCTGTAGACTGGTGACACATTTTTCTCTTATCCACCAAACTCCTCATTCAAAATGTATGTAACTGTAAAACTGACCATTTATGTGTGCATTAAGTCATTGTACCTTTAAATTAATTATGATTATTACTATTATCCATTACCGGTAATGTTTCGTTCCCTAATCTAATTTTGCCGTCAATCTTTTAAAGGCACAATTGTTGCACTGTTACTCACAATAATTGCATTTTAAAGTGACCCCCCACTCACATACACACACACCCATATACACACACACACACACGCACTCACACACACTTTCTCTCATACACAGTTACACACTTTCTTATCAACATACAGTGGCACACCACCTCACACAACTGGAGCTTCTTTGATGTTTAATATTTCTCTGTTTGCAATCATGCTCTCTGATCCATCTATTTCCCATCATTTTTATGTATACATAATACAATGTACAAAGCATAATGTCTATATATTATTATTAGCTAATAAACAAACACTTCTTATGTATGCATGCACATACAGTGGCTGAGTTATGCAAATCTTCTGAACCACTTCTGAAGGATGTGGAACAACAGTTGTCCTCCCTCTCTGGAATAATCCCACCCAACCATTATTACAAGTAAGGAAGAACCACTTTTATCTTACTGACTGCTAATTTCTACTATTATAGAATTATTAGAATTATATTGATGTAATTGTAGGGCACAAATTCACTTTATTGTAGATTCCTGCTAAATTAACATTTAGCCACTTGAGTAAACCATTTGATTGAGGTATTGAGTATTTTATTGCTGAGCATATGTTTCTGTGTTATTGGTGTCACTGTGGTGGATCCTATGACGTATCAATTCATGTCTCGTTAAGTTTATTAATTTAACAGGGAACACTCCCATGTTTTAGACATTAGCTTATGCTAATTGTTATGAATAATAGTGTTTACTCACTGGTACTGCTGCCTGTGTTTGCTCCACTATATGTAATAATAGGGGAAATATCATCCATGTTATAATATCCATGGATGGTTTGATGGTAACAGAATGACAACCTAATTTCCCATTGACATTAAAGCATGAATTGGTTGTGTAATCTGACCTCTTGATGCAGATGCACTCCGAAGCTTGACTATCAATTAAGAAATGATTCATATTTTTCAGGTATCATGACCACTGGAAGTGTGTCCTACAGAGGGTGTCATTCATGATTTCTCTTAAAGCTTTCCTGGAGTCCTCGGTATCTGGTAAAACCAGTGAAGCTCTGGTAACGAGAGAATCAGTCTCAGCTACACTAGGAGGTAAGACAGAACTTGCGACTGCAATGACTCATACACTCTTACTGCAATGAATAATTTACAAGGTATTGTTGAGAAATTTTTACTTGTAGCAAGTTTGTAAGTACTAACAAGTTCAACAATAAACTTGTGACTATTGTATGTACTTATAATGGACTTGTAGATACTATACAGTTATTCTACTTATTTCTTGTTGTTTTTTTCAAGGATTTCAACTTGACCTTGAAGACTATCTGATTGGACTGCTCATGCTAACAAAAGAACTGGTAATGACAAACACCTTCTCACTCCCTCTCTTCTTTTATCACCCTTTCTCTTTTGCACTTCATTATTTTTTCTCTCTCTCTCTCCCTCTCTCTGTTTCTAGTCCAGATTATCAGTCAATAGTGTTATCTTAGGTGATTATAACGTTCCTGTTCAAATACTATCATTTGTCAATGAGCTCAGCAGTGGCTTCAGACTCCTCAATCTAAAGAATGACACTCTGAGGAGGAGATTCGATTCCCTCAAGTACGACACAAAGAAAGTCGAAGAAGTTGTCTATGACATGAAAATAAGAGGACTGGTGTGAAATATGAACTAATTTTTAATAATGCATATTTGATCTAGAGTAGTAATTGTAGATGTATAAACTATATTTTTTATAGTAAATATATGGTAAATTTTATAGTAAATAAGTGGTTATTTTAATTATTATTATCATATTAATCAGCAACAGAATGCATGCAACATAACTCCCACGCTCATTAGCTGACGTCATAATTAAAACTCGATTATGACGTAGTGGTATGACTGGATTAATTTTCACGAAAAATAAAAAATTATAATAATAGACAGACACCACTGTTTTCAGAGTTATCTCATCCTCTCTCAATTTCTCTCTCTTTTTTTTGTGATGGCCACCATAGCTGGAAACGGTCCCCCTTCTATCCTCATGGCTACCCCGCCATTGATCCCCCAGTCAACAACTCGGGGGAGCAACAGCTTCAAGCTACCCTCATTCTCGACTCACAACGTAACGCAGTTGCTTAAGTACAGGAAGGAAGGAGAGGGAGAAGAAGATCACAAGAAGGCCGAAAAAGAAATCAAAAGTCTAGTCAAGAAACTTAAAAAGAAAGAGAACCTCCATGAGTTAGAGCGAGCTCTGTCAAGCGGAGGAGACATACCTACTCGTTGTGTGACACTGCCCAGACAACTGGATGGGAAAGATGGAGCGTCAGCTCAAAGGTATGTTTATGACTTGTAATGGTATACAGATGTATGTATCACTGATTGTTTACATTCAGAGCTATATTTAAAGGTGATAATTAGTTGTAATTGATGCCCTCATCGTGATTACATTATAGTTCAAATGGAAATTAAGTGAAAGTGCTGTTTCACCATTGTTATCATTATTGATAGTACTTCTCTTCTCTCTTGCCTCTCCTACATTAACTTGATCAAAGAAATGTTTATGTAAACAGTTGCTCTGGTACATGCACCTTTGTGTGTACTCTTATCAGCCAAATAATGATTACATGTTCAACTGTAAACCTTTCCTTTCTTTCTCCTCTCTCTCTCTTACTCACTCTCTCTCCCCCCTCCCCTCCCCTCTTTCTCTCTCCCCTCTCTCTCCCTCTCTCTTCTCTCTTTCTCTCCCCTTCTCTCTGTCCCCCCTCTCTCTCTCCCTCTCTCTTCCCTCTCCTCTCCCCCTCTCTCTCTCCCCCTCCCCCCCTCTCTCTCTCTCAGTAGACTCCCTCATGTTGTTTACTGTAGAATATGGCGGTGGCCAGACCTGCAGAGTCATCATGAACTGAAGCCAGCTGATGTGTGTCAGTACAGCTACTACAATCGTAAATCAGAAGAAGTTTGTATTAATCCTTATCACTATATTCGGATAGTAGCACCTCGTAAGTAGAGAGAGAGAGAGAGAGAGAGAGAGAGAGAAGGAATGGAGGGAGGGGAGAGAGGAGAGAGAGGGAGAGAGAGAGAGAGGGAATGAGGAAGGGAGAGAGAGGGGGAGAAGAGGATCGAAGAGAATGAGACAAAAATTAAAGGAGTGTGAATGTAATTCAAGTTATTCTCAAGGTGATGGTTGAAGTGTGTAACTGATCTGTTATTTGTGGTTTTCTTTGAGTATTAGTATTAAATTGGCTTGAAAGCATTTCAACTATTGTATATGGGAATCTACCATGTCCTCATATGTACATGTACATGTATATTTGAGTGTGAGAAAGGGGGTCCCTCCTTTTCACCACAACTGATTGAGGTGGAAAAGAAATGACAACAGCCACTTAAACATGTGTAGGATACATCCCTGTCTAGAGATGGTTATGGCCATGGGTACATAACTCCTCGAGATAAGTGGTCGAGGGTGTAGCCCGAGACCACTTCTCTTCGAGACCACTTATCTCAAGACCACGGGACCACTTCTCTCAAGACTGGACCACTTCTCTCAAGACCGGACCACTTATCTCAAGACCACTTCTCTCGGAGACCACTTCTCTTCGAGACCACTTATCTCGAAGGAGTTATGTACCCATACCCCCTCCAGACAGACTTATGCTATGGTAAAGTATTGCAGTATTGTTCTTGTGTAAACTGTGAAAACCCACACTGTCTGCTGGGTGGCTACATAGATATTAGAGCTAAATATCTATAGATATTGTATATATATATATCTATTATATATGTGCTAATAGACCCTCCCTCTCTCTCTTTGACTCTTCCCTCTTCCTAGCCATTATGCCAGTCCTGGTCCCTAACAGGCCGACTCAGCAACCCCTCTACCATGAACCACAGTCAACTGGCCTCCCTCAGAACATTGACTGTCCTCTTTCATCTGATCCTCTACCAGCAGGTGCTTATTTAGAACCCTCCCTCTCTCTTTTAACATTTATGGCCTCTCTCCTTTCTTTCTTTCACTTTCCTCCTACTCTCTCTCTCTCCCTTCCTCTCTTTTAATCTTTATCTAATGCTCTTCCCTTTTTCCTTCTCATTTTCCCTCTCTCCCTCTCTCTCTTCCAGAGGAGACCCCTCCACCTGCTTACAGTGAAGTTCCCCCAGTTGATAGTCCAGCTGATCCTCAGAGTGTCTACTCTGGTGGTAAGTGTATAAAACTACTAATTATTTACAAGTGTAGTATCACTAATCAAGCAATGTACACGTATATATTAGTATATGTAAATGTGTAATTGAATATATTACTGCATATCTACATGTTTGTATGTTTTCCTTGCCTGTGTTTCTAATTTGTGTAGAGTAGCTTCCTATCCAGTCTTGTTTGTATTCTGTTCCTTTACTCTCTTCTCTTCCTTCTTTCTCTATAGTTGGCTCTCCTATCATGTCTCCATTATCAGCTGCTTCTAACACTTCAGTTAATCCAATTGGATCACCGGCTCAGTCAGGTGAGGCTAGTAGAGTAGTGGGAGGAGACAAAGAATTCTTTCATTATGATCCTGCATATTTCGTATACCTTTATCATTATTAAATAATTACCTGTAATCCCTCCCACCTATGCTGGTATGTACAAGGTCTTGCATGAAGATATTCACCTTTTGGCTTCTCATTTGAATTATCATGTCTCCTACATGTACATGTACCCCTCCATTGCATGCCTACTTAACCTCTCCTTCTCTCCCTTTCCCTCCCTCTCTCATTCCTCTCCCTCCCCCTCTCTCCCCCCTCCAGATTACCATCCCATTACATACACAGAACCAGCCTACTGGTGTAGTATCAGCTATCATGAACTAGGTACTAAAGTTGGCGAGACATTCCAAGCCATTCGCCCTTCGATCATAGTAGACGGTGGAACAGACCCTGGTACCACGGACAGGTTCTGCCTCGGGAAGATGTGTAATGTGAACAGAGACAATATTACCATACAGGCCCGGAAACACATTGGGCAGGGGATCAAACTCATGTACATTGGAGGTGAAGTCCATTTAGAGTGTCTCGGTAAAAATGCCGTTTTTGTTCAAGCCCCAAACGCTAACCTCCGCAATCGCTGGGAGAGTGCAACTGTAGTTAAAGTCCCTCAAGGCTGTCTCCTTGATTTATTCAATTCTCAAGATTTCGCTAAGAGACTAGCGGACGCTGTACACTTAGGCTATGAGGCTGTGACCCAGCTGCAGAAACAGTGCACTATTAGGATGAGCTTCATTAAAGGCTGGGGTGCTGATTACAGGAGGTCTCAGATCACTTCGACTCCGTGTTGGATTGAAGTCAACATACACGGGCCTATGCAGTGGCTAGATAAAGTACAGACCCATATGGGTGGGCCGAATGGGATCATCCACTCAGATACGTAACTGTGTAGCATTCATCTCCCCTCTATCTATCTATCTCTTGTTGAGTTTCCTCTTAGTCCATTTTAATCTTTATTATTATTATTGTTATTCTTATTAACTTTGTTATGATTATTGTGAGTGTTATAGTATGATAATGGTCATTTTGTCTCTGATATTAATCATGCTAATACTTATGGATGGACTGACTTACACATACACAATAGGGAGATTATTAGTAACAAATTATTATCATCACAACCAGCATCTCTCCACCTACACCTTTCATTCCAATGTATTACAATCCCTCTTCATTAGTATGTACATAATGATCCTCTTTTCTTTTCTATCTAATTGTTGTCAATATTTTTGTAATTTGTTTTATTGTTTATTGCCATTTAAATATATTAATTCCCTCACTCTGATTGTTGTAATAATAATAACAAACATTAATAATAATAATAACAAAAAAATAATATCATTTTCAGTTAAACGAGAGTTCTTTTAGTTTTTCCTGAGTCTCCTAAATTATAAAAAAACTGCAATCATTTATTGCTTTTTCACAGCTCATGGTTTTTTCCAAAAAACAGCTCCGAAATCACCCCAAATTTTTATTACATTTTCTGATACATATTGATGTACTTATGCTGTGTAGCAAGTTTGAGCTGATTCCGACTTAAATTTTTTGAGTTAAGTCCATTTTAAGAAAACGTCAAAATCCTGAAAAATACCCAAGGCTATAGCCCATGGTTTTTTCCAAAAAATGGCTCCAAAATCACCCCAAATTTTTATTATATTTTCTAATACATATTGATGCCCTTATACTGTGTAGAAAGTTTGAGCTGATTCCAACTTAAATTTTTCGAGTTACGGCCATTTTTAAAAAATGCCAAAATCCTGAAAAATACCCAATGTTTTTTCAAAAAATGGCTCCAAAATCACCCCAAATTTTATTACATTTTCTAATGCATTACTGATATCCTAGCTGATTCTGGGCACATATTAACATTCTCATGAACTGTTAGTTGTTGTAATAATTGTAAAATAGCAATTCTTGAATTTCTTTCTCTTGTTCACACTTACCTCACTCACTGATTCACTTAATAATTGGAGGGTGTGGCTATCTATGACCACACCCCTTTCCCTTCCTACCAATCTGGTCCTCTCAGGGTATGTCTGTAGCATTTGGTGTAGCGTCAGTAAAGATTGTTCAAGAAGATCAACGTTGTCTTTAAAAGTTTTTATATTTTTATTAATAGCGTCAATAAGGTCGTCTATTAGCAGCTCGAGATTAGCTAAAAATAAATCAAAAAATAAAATAATAATTTTCTTTACTTTTAATTACTGCACTCACAGTGTGGTTCAATGTACAGGTGCTGAAGGAAAAAGAATATTTTAACGCTTAGTCTGTCACTGGCCCCATATAAAGATGAGAGTAGTAAATTTGGTCCATCGTTTTCTAAAAATAGCTCTCTTGCTGGGCTGTAGCCTCTCACCAAACCTAAAAATAGGTTATTATTATTATTAATAAATTATTATTATTAAAATAGATTATTATTATTATTATTATTTAAAATTAAATTTACATTAATGTATGAGTTGCTTTAGCTTTAAAGATGCTTGCTATACTTATTTCATAATTTGAAAAAATTAAATTAAAAATAATCAACTGTCAAAACTGCTGAAATTCAATTCGTGACTATATTCAAGGATCTTCAAAATTTTCTCAGGAAAATTTTAATGCTATACAGTATTTGCAGTTGGCTCCACCTACTTGATATAGCTGATATAGCCTTCCTTTGCAATCCCTCGTTGGTTCCTGAGAGCAACTGAATCAAGTGATTGAGAGACGATTGTGTGAACTCTTTCTGACAAGGTTCATGATTCTGTGAAGCATTAGTTATAATACTGCAAGCAGAACCAACCAAATCACTAAAATAAGGAAAAATATTATTATTTATTATTATATTAAATTATTAAAAAGATATTCTTAAAATTATTTTATGAATAATTAATATTACATTATTATTTTTTTATTATTACATTATTACCTCTCATTGCGCAATAAGTATTTACTGATAGTTGCTATTCCTTTCAATGGTATCAAATCTGTTTAAAATATTATTTTAATAATAACTATTTTTATTGCTGTTATTGCTACCTGAGGCATGGTCCAAATCTTCAACAAAATATTCGACATCTTCAAAAGATTGTTTGAGAGCATCCAACTCTTCCTGACTGCAATTAACAACAACAACAACAACAACAATAATAATAATAATAATAACAATAATATTTTTGCTATTTTTGTACAAAAAATATTGAAATTTGGCCTATTATCTTAATAATGCATGTAATAATGATAAATAAAATTAGTATCATGATATATACATAGTCTATTATACCTAAATGATGGTTTGTCCGAGTGTATTTCAAGTATTGATAGAGCTCCCTTGAGGAGGTCAGTCTCACTTGGTTTAGTTGATACTGAATGCAACACTTCTTTCAACCACTCCAGTCTCTAGTATAATAAATAAATAAATAATAGTAATAATAATAATAATCTACAATGTACAATTGTAGACTACACAATCTACAATCTATTGTATAAAGTCTACTACCTATACAATGACACATAAATATCACATAAACACTAGTCTACCAATTACTTGTGGGTCATTATGTTCTTCTTGTGTCTGCGTGGCTCCTCCATTACCTCTCTCTTGCTGCCTTATAGACCAGTTTAAGATCCCTTTCAATCTACTAGTAATACCGTCCATCTTTAGGAGGGGACTCAGGGGAGGGGTTTAAGCTTCATTAGGCTAAGTCTAAGCATTAAAACAATTTTGATAAAAAAAGTATATTGTCATTTTTAGGTAGATCTAACTGCAGTCCTTCAATATTAGACCTATTTAGTGTTAAAATAATGATGATAATAATATTATTATTAAATCTGCTCCTGTGCATGTGATTGATGGCCAACTCTGTCTTTTGTAAGTTCTGTTGCATGTCTATTTATTTCTGTACGGTTTTTGCTGTTTAGTTTTATTTCTTGTTGGCTCAGGATTTTTCCTATTTTTTGTATTAATTTCTGTTTCGATAATTATTTTTATGTTTTCTTCGATAACAATGATAATTGTAATAATAATTATTATAGTTATTATTATTTTATTATTAGCATAATAGTATTAGTGTTAGTATTATTATCAGGACGCACAAAAGTAAAAATATAAAAACGAACTGATCTGGCTTCATATGATAAATCAGTTAACCTTTAGTTTGGAGCTGAGAATGAACAAGACTCTCCTAATTGTTGCTGCACTATCAGTGACATTGTTATCATCAGTTGCAAGTCAGTGCATTATTTTTAGAGCACTCAGTCCATTATCATGTTCCTGCAGTTGTTGAATCTTGCAGTACTGGGTCTGTTCGTTTGGTATGGGGTCTTGGACCCTGGGAGGGGAACTTGCAAGTTTGTCTCAATGGTGTTTGGGGCTGGGTCTGTCACAATTTCTTTAATAGCAGTGCTGCAAAGGTTGTCTGTAGACAATTAGGATTCAGCACCACAGGTATGTGTGCATATTTTTGATGAAATATCTATTTGCTATGATAAGTATAAGCATGTATTTGTCAAAAGGAACTTAAAGTCCATTTGTGTTCACCCAAGCACTCATTTGTTGCTTATAAACTACTGTACTGTTATGAGAGAGTGGCATGTTATTATGAGACATTGCCTTGTAGTATTCTTTTTTGAATTTTAAATGTTTAACTGTCTTGCAACTAGTGCCTAGGCCACTCTAATGATGGGTTGTACTAGTAAATAACATCTATGCTTTCAAAGTTTTATAAGAATATTAATATGCATATGGAGTGTGTATACTGACCAAAAAAATGTTATTAGTGGACATTATAGTATTGGTTATAATGCACCAAATACTGTATAGAATTTTAATTTTATCTGGTGGAGTGATCATTTTAAGAAAGAATGAGACTTAGATTTCGATCACTGGGTGATGCTACATGTACATGCACTTACTATGCTCACACCAACTATGCCAAAACGTTGCTATGTATTTTGATTTTCTAATTCGTAATATACCCCAGTACTCTTTTGAGTCACAATAAATGTGTCTAGACAAACATTTTGTCAATTACACGTGTGGTGCTGTTATCATTAGCAAGTGCACCTATTACTATTGGTATTACTATTGCAGTAAATCATCATGTTTTGTTATTGCTAGTAAAATTTACTCCTACATCTGAGGCACAACCAAATGACAAATAGGCTGAATTGATCTTCAACTTTCATATCATTGTTGTTTCTTTGAATAGGGGCTACAAGATTTACCTCTTCATACTACGGTTGGGGTAATGGGACTGTATTGATGGACTATGTTAGTTGTACTGGATCTGAAACTAAAATAACCAACTGTGGCTACAATACAGTTCTTACCAGTTCTTGTTATCATGGTACATTAGCTGGAGTTGTTTGTCAAAGTAAGATGATTGAATTAAGCAGTCATTAGACATGTTTATTAAATATAGGTGGAGGTACTTGTACAAATGGTGATATTCGTTTGATCACTGCATCATACAGATCTTTTGGTCGTGTTGAGTTTTGTATTTACAATCAATGGGGGACTATTTGTGATGATGGTTGGGATAGTTCAGATGCTAGAGTGGTTTGTAGGCAATTGGGGTTTGATAGTAGGTTATCTTGTATTGTTATAATTTTAATTTATTTTATGTGTTTCTAGCTTCACTATATAGTTACTCTTGTTGTGCAAATTATGGACGAGGATCTGTACCAATTAGGATCAGGAATGTTGGTTGTTCCAGCAGTTACAGTAGTCTATCTTCGTGCAGTTACACTCTCGGCTCCTATCGTTGTTCTAGTTCTGAAGTAGCTGGTGTGGAATGCTATGGTGAGCTTATTGGACATATAACTCATCTCTCAATTATTGAATTTGTGGTATACTTCATAGGAAGAATCACTAGCCCATGCACTAATGGGCAGTTTAGACTGTGGAAATCATTCAATCATACAGGACCCAGTAATGAAGGGATTCTATTATATTGTAAAAGTGGAGCATGGACTACTGTCTGTAACTATGCATTCAATTGTTATACTGCAAGACTAATATGTCAAGCAATGGGGTATCCTGGAGCACTTGGTTAGTATTCATTTAGTATATTAATGGTGGTTATTCAGCAGTAAATTCTAGATACCAGAAGTTATGGGTATTATGGTCAATACCACACAAGTTACTATGACTCATACTATTGGTCATGCAATTCTTATCATACTTCAATATATCAATGTTCATACTACTATCGGTATGATCTTCAGTATTGATTGCTATTATTACACTTCTATTACAACTTATGTAGATCTAGATCTCGGTGCTCCAGCTCAAGTGCATTTGGTCTTATTTGTTACTCACCTTCTCAAGGTACAGGCATCTATCAATAATTTAGTAATTAGCAATTATAAGGATCTGGTACTTGCACTGATGGTACTGTAAGACTAGTCAATGGATCTACTAGCAATGAAGGAAGAGTAGAGTATTGTTATAATGGGGACTGGGTACCTTCCTGTGGTATGTCATCAATCACTGCTTCACTTGTATGTAAACAACTAGGATACAATTCTACTTGTAAGTATAATGGTGGATTAAATTTAAGGTTTGAATATTAATTTATATTTCCATAACAGATGGTAGTGTTTTCAATGATGAACGATTTGGACGAAGCAACAGTAAGAGTTATCTTCATTATAAATCCTGCAGTAGCTCTCACCAATCACTATCACAATGCACTGATGTGATTAGAAGAAGCTCATGCGATATTAGTCTTGCAGCATGTTCCACTGAATATGGCCTTCGTTGCTACAGTAAGATAGTATGTAGTAATAATGCTTCTTTGTTATAATGAAATTTCAGATACTGGTTCATGTACAAATGATGGTGAGATTCGATTGGTCAATGGTACAATAGAGCAAGAAGGTAGAGCTGAAATATGTCTCAATGGAGTATGGGGGGCTATCTGCCATAATGGCTGGGGCACATCTGATGCTTTTGTATTTTGTAAAGGATTAGGATACAGAGGATCAGGTATAAAGTAAATGAATTGACTATTGCACAAAATCCTATTTAGGCTCAATTGCACGTTCTAATGCTTATTTTGGTGAAACAAACGGTCCTGTTTTGTTTAGTTACTTTCGTTGTTATGGCTATGAGTCTGGAATTTATAGCTGTTCTAAATCAAGTCAGCCTAACTTCAACTGCACTCAGCAGTACACTGCTGGTGTGACATGCAAGGACTGTAAGTAATCCTGAAAGTTTTACGAAAATATTGATTAGAATTCATGTATGTTGCAGCTTGTAGTAATGGTCAGTTGAAATTAAGAGGTGGAAAGTATTTCAATGAAGGAACTGTTCTTGTCTGTTATAATAACATGTGGGGCTTAATATCAGATGTTGCATGGAGTGATGGAGATGCTAGAGTTGTCTGTAATTCATTAGGCTATCACAATGGAAGTAAGAAATTACGTGTACAATCATTTTCATTTTTTATGTCATTCATTTCTTATAGTTGCTAAGTCAATCCGTGGCTCATACTATGGTAAACCAAGGCTCCCTGTTCATTTTAAGCATGTGTCATGTTTTGGACAAGAGCCTAACATTCTACAATGCTCAAAAACCATACTCTCACTAGATAATGGTAAACTAGCTCTCAACACTGATGATGTAGCTGGGGTTGACTGTATACATGATGAACCAACTGAATGTATTGCACCACCATCATGGATCAACACTGCAGGATCACAGTGCCAGTTTAATGGTGCTATCAGATTAGAAGGTAGTGAGGAGGCAGGTACTGGTAGATTAGAGTATTGTTATAATGGATACTGGTCACCATTCTGTAAACTGGACCCTGTTGCTGCTTCTGTTGTCTGTAAACAGCTTGGATTTGTTAACTATACAGGTATATAATATAACATGTATTCTTATGTTTATTACTCTTTTTAAATTATAGCTGCTTCAATCATTCCTACAACTGATTTTGGTGTTGTTCAAAACTTTAGTCTCTTTAATAATATTGTGTGCAATGGAACTGAAGATTATGTTTCAGATTGTGTAGTTCAAACATCAGAATGTATTCCATTGTGTCCAAAGAATATTGGAATAAAATGCTTCAGTATGTTCAATGTCTTTGTAATAACTTTATTATTGCAATTACAGATCCTGGTATGTGTACTACTGGTGATATTAGACTAGTTGATGGTATCATTGAAAATGAAGGAAGAATTGAAATATGTACTGATGGAGTCTGGGGAGCTGTCTGTGATGAAGGATGGGGTAAAACTGATGCTCACGTTGCCTGTGCACAGCTAGGACATCCTGATAAAGGTATGTGTATACTGCTATTAATGTTTGGTATATGAAACTTTTAATTGATTCATAGAGCCAGTAGTGTTTCGTAACTCAACCTTTGGTGCTGGTCAGTATCCAGTTGTACATTCTAATTTTTCTTGTGGAGGATGGGAATCTAGTTTAACTGAGTGTGGCAGTATAGTCTATCCACAGTTTAACTGTTCCAGGAACAATACTGCTGGAGTATTGTGTGGATATGGTATTTATGATGCTTTGTTGTGCTTCAGCCTTATTATCAATGCATCACTTGTAGATTGTGAAGATGGTGAGATACGATTGGTAGGTAGTGAATCGAACTATGAAGGAACAGTTGAGGTTTGTCATGACCATATTTGGGGCCTTATCTCTGATTCAAGTTGGAGTACTCAAAATGCTGAAGTAGTGTGCAGACAATTAGGATATGAAATAAAAGGTATCTTGTAACTTTCAGTGGATACACTTGTTATGTGGATTTTAGAAACCATTTCATTTAATGACTCATACTTTGGTAAACCAGCGAACAAGACAGTACACATATCAGATATAGACTGCACTGGCCATGAGAGAACAATCAGTGATTGTACAAGAACAACTCTTTCCCTAGAGGAAGGAAAGACTATGATACCTCAGACTAATGTAGCTGGTGTGAAGTGCTATACTCCTGATCAATGCATTCCTCCTCCAACTGGAGGAGTATCATGTACTAGTGGACGCATTAGACTAACTGGTGGTAGGTCTGGTGTTGCTGAGGGGAATATAGAGTACTGCTATCATGGATCATGGTCACTGTTTTGTTCACTTGGACCACAAGAAGCAGTAGTAGCCTGCAGACAGCTAGGATATGAGCAATATGATAGCAAGTTGCAGAAGAGTCTGATAATATTGTTATATTTTTCTTCTCACAGTAACAGCAGTGTTTAATGATGGAAGATTTGGATTATCCAGTGTCAATAGTTTATTTCAGAATGTGTCATGTATTGATGCTCCAACTGCTACATCATTAAGTGAATGTGATCTTGTTGATAAATGTCAATCAAAGTGTCAGTACCCCATTGGTCTATGCTGCTATGGTAAGTGACTATTGTGAAGTAATTAGTTATAATTTAGTCATTATTAGAATCAACTGGTGGGTGTGAAGAAGGATCAGTGCGTCTTGTTAATGGCAGCACAGGAGAGTCTGGAAGATTGGAAGTCTGTACTAATAATATTTGGGGGAGTGTATGTGGCAGAGGGTTCAGTGTAACTGATGCACATGTAGTGTGTAGACAAATGGGCCTTGAACTTGGAGAATCTGGTAAATGGCCATAATATATTATTAATTCAGACTAGGGGTCAGTTGAAAAACCTCTAAAAATACAATGTTGATATGTTTTGCATGAAACAGAAACAAAGAAGTTATTACTGCTGTTGAACTGTAGAAGTATCATAACAATTTATATTGTTATCACTGAGGTCAAACAAAAATAAACCTCATCAGAACATGTATAATGTATCAAAAAAATTTAAAATGGAGAATTTTATTTAGCTGTTTTTTGACAAAATGTAGCCCGAGACCATATACATAGTACAGGGACTTTGACCCAATTTTTGAGCAGCTTTAAAAATTCATAAAAAATCCAAGTTTGAATAGAATCAGCTCAAATTTCTGCAAAACATAAGTACATGTATGTGCATTTAAATGATTTATTTCTTGACTTTTTGACATATTTTATACTTTATGTTATTATTCTTATAGAACCAATTGTGTATACTGATTCATACTTTGGTGATGGTAATAAAGCTATCATTTATTCTGATTTTAATTGTGGAGGTTCTGAAGAAACTGTGACTGAATGCCATAAGAAAGAATATGGCTCTTTTATTTGTTCACATAGCAATACAGTTGGAATCATCTGCAGAGATAGTGAGCTATTCATTATCATTGTTCTGTTGGTCATTATTAACTTTTTCATAGATTGCTCCAATTCTGATGTACGCTTGGTTGGTGGTCCAACAAAATATGAAGGCACACTCCAAGTGTGTTATTATAATATGTGGGGGCTTGTGTCTGCTAATGGATGGACTGACAGAGAAGCATCAGTAGTCTGTAAACAACTGAACTATAACGCATCAAGTAAGTTATCATTTCTGAATATAAAAAAATTCCTGCAGGAGGTGTTGCCATTAATGGTTCACGTTATGAATCATCAAGAAGAACCATACAACTTACTGATGTTGACTGCAATAGAAATGA